ACTCCAGTTGAATGAAATAGCATATTTGTTTTCCTTATGGTCCATGAAATGTCCTGCTTCACTTTCTGTTTTTGCTCTCTTTCGTGGGTTGTTGTTCTCTAACTGTCGGCCATTGTGGATATCCCAGAGTACTCCGCGTTGAGTGAAGCAATAGTGAAACTGACCAGGGAGGGGATAGGAAAAATTGTAAATAGCCCCCAAAGCGATTAAGTTAAGGCCAAAACCAACAAATTTAACTTCTAAAAACGCGTGGTAACCCCTATTTTTTATCTTACCAAATGAAAGTTATAAGCCTACTCAGCAAACGATCAATTTTTGGTTCGGGGAAAATGTCGTTTACACTATTTTTAAGGCAAACGCGTAAAGAAGGGGTAACTGCTGACAACTTCCCAGTTGTGCTTATATTTCAAAAAAAGACGTATAAAGAGCAGTTGTTATGTTATCATTTGTTGCTTATTTTGAAACCTTGTTGCAATTATCATTGCATTTGTGCCAGTTCACGTGTACACTCCGAAATTTTGGGAAAAAATAACTTTTTATCATTTTTCTAAAAAATGCCTATTCAGCGTTTTTCTCCATATTGAAGCGCAGTTGTCTCTGAAAAATGCGTGGTTACCCCCAGTTTTCTTTTTGGATTTCAATAGCCCCTGACATGATCTACTTGTCTCACATAGTCATTATCTAAGAAAAAAATACTTCCCATTAATGGGCACCGTCCTTAAGCTGAATTTTATGCATGATGGAATTGTTCTTTGCTTGTCGCATCTCTTTGCCAGCTTAAAGTGGCGTCTATGGTCCTTAAAGTGACCTCAATCGGTAATTAAATCTTATACATAATTGGAAAGAAGTTTTTGCAATAATGTAACTTTAACTTTGTTTGAAGGAAATCTTACTAACGCGTAGGTTTTTAACAGGTGTTATGCATGTTCAACTTGACAACACATGCAAAGCAAAATTAATCTGTGCGAAACGATCAAGTTTAGAAAACTATGGTTGCTTTGAAACCACCGATCTTGGGGAAGATTTACTAGATAAAGATTAACTCTTTTACAGCCCACATATCAACGCCAAAACTTCTACATTGAGGATTTTGTTTACATTTTAGTGATCTGCGAAGCTAGAAGTGTCCGATCGAGCTTGGGTTTTAAAATATCAGCTCGAGTGCGACAAAGTTCAGTGACTTCAAACACATTGAATTTCTTTGGACAGATTATTATACAAAGATATATTCTGTTTTTGTGTCCACGGTGGAGCTCAGGACCTTATATATCCAGGAACTTCCTTATATGAACACATTTTGTGAATGCATCTTGAAAAAAAAAGGACTTACGCACGCACATTTCCAGTACAACTCAAGGAAATTAGTAAATGTCGTTAAAGTCAGTTTTACTATGATGTATTCTTCGAGAAAATTAAATAATAAGAAGGTTATAACCACAGCTTGCAACTTTTGAAGACAAATTGCCTGTTCTTTCCAGGTTTATGGCCACACAAACCACTTCTGCGCCAAGTCGACTCGAAAAACTCTGTTTGAATTTCCCGCTTTTTTTCACCTGACCAACATTGACGTCACAAGCTGTTTCTTCCGTCAATTTTTCCGACCGCTCTACGATCGATAAGGGCCAAAAAACAGCAATTTTTAATTGCGAATATCTCGGAGATACTTGCTTCAATTGAGCTGAAACTTCATAGTATGTTTATTTGGTTCATATTAAACACATTTCACTAGAATTGAACTAAAATAAAAAATGTCGAATTTTGGGTTCATTTGACCTTTAATTCGTTTGGTTAGCCGCAACTGTTTAAGGCACAATGACGTTATTGACTTCATAAGAAACGAGTTCGATTTATAGTCTTGCCCTTACCGTACTGATTTAGTTGGCTTTGCTTAGGCACGAGACAAGTCTTAGTAGAGGGTGCCTTATATCTTTGGAGTCGTTTTGGTCTAGCGCTACAAGCGGAACTGTTATGTAAGTTATCTTTCTTCACTGCACTTACTCTATTTAGTGATCTTCGTAGTCTTGGCTAAAGGTCGTTACTTTAATTTCTACTAACGTTTTGACCATGTGATAAGTCATGATCGACCACGCTATTTGGAAATGTTGAAAGTTATGTTTAGTTTTCCATTTTACCTTAGCGCACATTAGCCTTTTCTTGACTTAGTTTTTGCGATTCGATTTACGTTTGGTCGACTCTTGTGGACACGGGATAATTTCACATTATATCTAGTTGTTTTGCCTTGTCACTAGAAAATATTTGTGGCGATAATTCATGATTAGTTCACCTTTATGTCTTACTAGTCCTGTTAAATAAGATGTCTTTGATTTTGTAAGGGTTATCGGCCTGAAGCGAGGGGTTATGTGATTTATTCCCCCCGTGCGTTGCCCGAGGACAACGCACGAGGGGAATAATACACATAACCACGAGCTGAAGGCCGATAAACGGCTTATTTTTAGATAAGCGAGGATTCCTCAAGGGATGTAAAAATACATTGACGAAAAATGCCTCTATTTTTCATCTTTCTTTTGTTTTTTAACACTCCATGCTGGCACTGGTGGCATTCACAGGTTTCTCGGCTTTTTAATTATGTTAGTTTTTCAAAGTCGCATTTCAAATTAGTTGTTCGCAGTGAATGCTACTGAGAAACAGCCTAAAGAGCCTGTCGAGCGATTCAGAGCCAGAAGTAGAGCCGTTTATTACTCAAACTAAAGCAGCTTTGTTGGCGCTACTTCAAGAACTTTCGGAAAACAATTTGAATCTTCATTTGCCGGGGTGCAGAAAACGAGCAAGCAGTTGACAATTTCAATTTTCGCACCGAGGATCTTTCGACCAACCTGCATGTTTACAGACAAAGAAGATTCCGGGCCAGGGATCACCACATAACTGCACCTGACAAGGAAATTCAGTCGAGGAATAAAGCAAGAATACCACAAAACCCAAAGAGGTCAACTGCATGTCTTCATTGAGTACACGAGTTTGGGATGACTGGTTAAGGAACGGAACTCCTTACCATGGCAGCGACACTTTCGTGGAACCGTAGAATTTTGAAGACGCTGTTAAATTTCGAACTGTCGTCTGGCTGTGGAAATCGATGAACCAGCAACTAAAAAATCCGTGAATGTGGCGCAAAAGAAACGCAGCTCAGTTTATTTTTAATAATTATAGCGTCGTGTTTAATATTTCCAATAAACATTTGTGAATTTTTTCTTTATGAAAAGCTAATTGAAATGCGAGGGGATTATGTATTAATATGCAAGGGAATAAGTCACTTATCCCCCTTGCATATTAATACATAATCCCCTCGCATTTTAATTAGCTGTTCATTAGTCCCGCTCTTCCCTTCAAACAATCAAATCCGCACCCAGCTTTTCAGACAGTTGATTCGGGGGTTATGTAATATATTCCCCCCGAAAAGAACAAAGGAATCCGAGCTTATGTAAAAATAAGTTGATTTATCAGTTAGTTCCGTAGTAGATTCCGTAATTTTGTAATGGAATGATCAGAATGTCAACAATGTATACACGCCATTTCGCTTCGCTTTTGCTTGTATTTGTTTCAGTTTACGATATCATCTTAGATTATTCGTCGAATAAACTCAATTTAAGTGATTGCCCGTAAAATATAGCCCCGTTTGGTTGTCGTATCTCAAGCGAGTTAGTTGTCGTAAACGCTTTGGGTGTCGACCATTTTTAGATTATGATTTACGTAATAATTTGATCATTTTAATTTAATCATACTGATGACACTTGATTGACCATTGAAATCATTGTTGTTTTTTCAATTGGCTTATTATCCCAATTAATCATTAGTATTTATTGTAACTTTATCTTCAAGCTTTTGCAATACTGTAACTTCATCATTTGTTGTTGTACATCTACTTGCTGTCACTGCACGACTACGACGTAAAACTTCCTAATTTTACGCTCAGTGACTTACAAAACAAAAAAGAAGTATCTTCTTTGTCTTCTGGAGTTATGTACAGTCCGTTAGAATTCACTTCGAAAAAAACTTGCAAATATATGACAAACTGTTCAAAGTTATTCGAATTTAAATCGTAATGCTCTTTTTGCGTCACTTTTATTCTGCTAGTTGCTACTTTCGCACATTGTGGCCCACGCAAACAGCTTCAAGTTTTTTTTTTTTTTCATTTAACAATAAACTGGCCAAAAAGACCCCATTCACAAAGAACCCGTGGTTGTAGAACTCCTTGTAGTTTTTATCCCAGAAACATTAATTGACCCAATAAAAGAGTAAAAAAATCCGTATATCATTTTGGTGTTTTTATGTTGTTTACCACGACGGCAGCATCTGCTGGCTGCATTATACACACAATTTTTAACCTCTACGTTACAGCAAAATATTAAAGCTTGGCACCTATTCCACCAAAATGCCTTACACTGTTGGCGCCTTCTTTAAATCCATATTTCCGTTCAAAATTTTAATTTTTTGAATTTTCATTTTTGGAAGCGAGACGAATGAACATAGCGCCTAAAAAAAAAATCGGGACACAGCTGTTCAAAGCCATCACAAAGAGTGAACTCGACAAAGAGTGAATACAGCGTTTCAACTGCATTTCCTTTCTTTAAAATCTCAAGCTATCCAATACGTTGTTTCTATAGGTTTCAGTTTGCAGGAAAGGGCTAGGAGTGGATGGCACCCTATAAAGTGTCACTAGTAAAAACATAGAACGTCCTTTAACTGTTCCTTGTAATCACTAGAAACACAGCATAACAGCGTAAAGTATTAACATGTTTTTGTGACAGTCATAGCGTAGCTTGCAGTTCAAACCATTCTCTGCAGACCCATGTTTACTGCGGAGCGATTAAGTATAGTTGAATTATGCACAGTTAAGGGTCGTTATTTATAGACAGGTATCTGCAGCGCGAACTAAATCGCAATAAATGGCTCCTCTCCTCATTGCAACTGTTTGCTTCTTCTTCAAATCTGTCATCTTGTTCACCATTTTCATTGGTATTACCAGGGACCGTAATTTTACCAGCGAGACGATATAAGATGCCACCTAACAAACCGATCAGGACACAGGTGTTGACGACCATCACAAACCAAACAAAAAAGTTAGTGTCGTTGACATCCAGAGTTGAAAATCGTAATACCATGAATGACATCGATAAGACGAACAACACAAGAGGCTCAAAGACATTCTCACTGAAAATGCCTTTGAGCTTTAGTCTTTCGTGTTGACAGTCGGTTTCTCCTTCTCTCCTACCCGGTTGCGTGTCGTATGGCCTTAAAATAAGATGAATAATCGCTGAAACCATAAGTACAAGCCACACTACAAAGGTTTGCAAAGTAGATGACGATGGAATCATGGACAGAGCGATGGCCAGAATCAGGCGACGTAAGAGCATGACAACTTCGAAGAACGCCTGGTACTTAGGTTTGTAGGGTAAGTAGATCGGTCCAAGCCATACATCAAGTTTCTTTCGATCTTCAGGACTCATAGAGCTTCTCTTGGGGAAAAAGAGCAACATCAAGGAGATGACCATCAAGGGAAATCCAATTACGTAGACCACAATGGAGAAAATTCCTAGTGTTGTTAACTTGAGGTATGTGTCAGATGTGCACTCTATCCAAGGAGAAGATGGCATGTAGAGCACATTTAGGTCCTTGTGACATGGACGTAGAATGGAGAGCGTTTGTTTTACAATGGGAAAGTAGCTGAAGCTTAGGCAGAAGAAGGCGGTTTGGCGGCATTTGAAGTGAACCTGTTCCATACGCCTTGTGTTTGGGCGAAACCTCTGCATAGTCAGCATGATGATAAAGTACGCACCCACGGTAGACAGGCACACCACCGGTAGAAGAAGAAGAAACACAAACTTACCAACAGGGGTAAAAAGAGAAGGCAAATCACAAGAAAGAGCGGGAAAATATAAGTTCCAGTAGCTGCTCAAGTAGCTTTGAGCTGCAATCACTTTCTTAGGCCAAACATTGACGCTTGATACCATGAAGTCCATCGTCTGGATGTAAAACACCGCGATGCTGATAAGAGAACGAGCAGTCTTCCCTCTACTAGTCATACACAGCACGAAAACAACCAGGTTTAATTTGAAAAACCATGCTGGTAGGAATTCTAAAAGCGTCATAATTAACATCAAAAGGAAATGAACAGCAGCCACAGCAAACCATTTCGCTGGACGCACATTATAATAAAAATACGACCAGATTAAAACAAGGAAGGATGCGGCAAACATAGGGATAAACAAATAATAGTAAAATGAATCGCCGTTTCTACATTGAAAGCATAGTCCGCTTAGTTTATAGAACCCATATTTACACCGAGAGCAAAATCTGTCCGTGTTTCCTAGATTACAGATACAAGAAATGTCGCATGTTGTGGTCAGAGATGACATTGCAAGTCTCTGGAAGGGCGCACGAGTATCTTTTGGCGATGTGACTAGTCTACAGCTACATGAACCTGTTGGATTGCAGGCAGATTTAACAGGACATTTGACAAGATGGGTAGCGTTAGCAGGAACAGGGGATGGCCAGTAACCGCTGCTTATGTTCATGATGCTGGGACGAAGATCTTCTACCGAACCGGGTGCAAGTCTGTGACATGTCCCATCCTTCATGCACTGTTTGCACAAACCTTTTTCTCCGTAGAAACCTTCATCGCAGACGCAGTATTTGTACTCATAAAAGGTCGGATCTACGCGAATGAGACCATTGTTGAAGGTGAGTCTTCCTTCTGGGCAGGTGAAATTGTTTGCTTTGTGTGGTTTAATCATTCTTGAAAAATCAGGTTGTCATTTGTGAATTTTTTCTTTATGAAAAGCTAATTGAAATGCGAGGGGATTATGTATTAATATGCAAGGGAATAAGTCACTTATCCCCCTTGCATATTAATACATAATCCCCTCGCATTTTAATTAGCTGTTCATTAGTCCCGCTCTTCCCTTCAAACAATCAAATCCGCACCCAGCTTTTCAGACAGTTGATTCGGGGGTTATGTAATATATTCCCCCCGAAAAGAACAAAGGAATCCGAGCTTATGTAAAAATAAGTTGATTTATCAGTTAGTTCCGTAGTAGATTCCGTAATTTTGTAATGGAATGATCAGAATGTCAACAATGTATACACGCCATTTCGCTTTGCTTTTGCTTGTATTTGTTTCAGTTTACGATATCATCTTAGATTATTCGTCGAATAAACTCAATTTAAGTGATTGCCCGTAAAATATAGCCCCGTTTGGTTGTCGTATCTCAAGCGAGTTAGTTGTCGTAAACGCTTTGGGTGTCGACCATTTTTAGATTATGATTTACGTAATAATTTGATCATTTTAATTTAATCATACTGATGACACTTGATTGACCATTGAAATCATTGTTGTTTTTTCAATTGGCTTATTATCCCAATTAATCATTAGTATTTATTGTAACTTTATCTTCAAGCTTTTGCAATACTGTAACTTCATCATTTGTTGTTGTACATCTACTTGCTGTCACTGCACGACTACGACGTAAAACTTCCTAATTTTACGCTCAGTGACTTACAAAACAAAAAAGAAGTATCTTCTTTGTCTTCTGGAGTTATGTACAGTCCGTTAGAATTCACTTCGAAAAAAACTTGCAAATATATGACAAACTGTTCAAAGTTATTCGAATTTAAATCGTTAATGCTCTTTTTGCGTCACTTTTATTCTGCTAGTTGCTACTTTCGCACATTGTGGCCCACGCAAACAGCTTCAAGTTTTTTTTTTTTCATTTAACAATAAACTGGCCAAAAAGACCCAATTCACAAAGAACCCGTGGTTGTAGAACTCCTTGTAGTTTTTATCCCAGAAACATTAATTGACCCAATAAAAGAGTAAAAAAATCCGTATATCATTTTGGTGTTTTTATGTTGTTTACCACGACGGCAGCATCTGCTGGCTGCATTATACACACAATTTTTAACCTCTACGTTACAGCAAAATATTAAAGCTTGGCACCTATTCCACCAAAATGCCTTACACTGTTGGCGCCTTCTTTAAATCCATCTTTCCGTTCAAAATTTTAATTTCTTGAATTTTCATTTTTGGAAGCGAGACGAATGAACATAGCGCCTAAAAAAAAAATCGGGACACAGCTGTTCAAAGCCATCACAAAGAGTGAACTCGACAAAGAGTGAATACAGCGTTTCAACTGCATTTCCTTTCTTTAAAATCTCAAGCTATCCAATACGTTGTTTCTATAGGTTTCAGTTTGCAGGAAAGGGCTAGGAGTGGATGGCACCCTATAAAGTGTCACTAGTAAAAACATAGAACGTCCTTTAACTGTTCCTTGTAATCACTAGAAACACAGCATAACAGCGTAAAGTATTAACATGTTTTTGTGACAGTCATAGCGTAGCTTGCAGTTCAAACCATTCTCTGCAGACCCATGTTTACTGCGGAGCGATTAAGTATAGTTGAATTATGCACAGTTAAGGGTCGTTATTTATAGACAGGTATCTGCAGCGCGAACTAAATCGCAATAAATGGCTCCTCTCCTCATTGCAACTGTTTGCTTCTTCTTCAAATCTGTCATCTTGTTCACCATTTTCATTGGTATTACCAGGGACCGTAATTTTACCAGCGAGACGATATAAGATGCCACCTAACAAACCGATCAGGACACAGGTGTTGACGACCATCACAAACCAAACAAAAAAGTTAGTGTCGTTGACATCCAGAGTTGAAAATCGTAATACCATGAATGACATCGATAAGACGAACAACACAAGAGGCTCAAAGACATTCTCACTGAAAATGCCTTTGAGCTTTAGTCTTTCGTGTTGACAGTCGGTTTCTCCTTCTCTCCTACCCGGTTGCGTGTCGTATGGCCTTAAAATAAGATGAATAATCGCTGAAACCATAAGTACAAGCCACACTACAAAGGTTTGCAAAGTAGATGACGATGGAATCATGGACAGAGCGATGGCCAGAATCAGGCGACGTAAGAGCATGACAACTTCGAAGAACGCCTGGTACTTAGGTTTGTAGGGTAAGTAGATCGGTCCAAGCCATACATCAAGTTTCTTTCGATCTTCAGGACTCATAGAGCTTCTCTTGGGGAAAAAGAGCAACATCAAGGAGATGACCATCAAGGGAAATCCAATTACGTAGACCACAATGGAGAAAATTCCTAGTGTTGTTAACTTGAGGTATGTGTCAGATGTGCACTCTATCCAAGGAGAAGATGGCATGTAGAGCACATTTAGGTCCTTGTGACATGGACGTAGAATGGAGAGCGTTTGTTTTACAATGGGAAAGTAGCTGAAGCTTAGGCAGAAGAAGGCGGTTTGGCGGCATTTGAAGTGAACCTGTTCCATACGCCTTGTGTTTGGGCGAAACCTCTGCATAGTCAGCATGATGATAAAGTACGCACCCACGGTAGACAGGCACACCACCGGTAGAAGAAGAAGAAACACAAACTTACCAACAGGGGTAAAAAGAGAAGGCAAATCACAAGAAAGAGCGGGAAAATATAAGTTCCAGTAGCTGCTCAAGTAGCTTTGAGCTGCAATCACTTTCTTAGGCCAAACATTGACGCTTGATACCATGAAGTCCATCGTCTGGATGTAAAACACCGCGATGCTGATAAGAGAACGAGCAGTCTTCCCTCTACTAGTCATACACAGCACGAAAACAACCAGGTTTAATTTGAAAAACCATGCTGGTAGGAATTCTAAAAGCGTCATAATTAACATCAAAAGGAAATGAACAGCAGCCACAGCAAACCATTTCGCTGGACGCACATTATAATAAAAATACGACCAGATTAAAACAAGGAAGGATGCGGCAAACATAGGGATAAACAAATAATAGTAAAATGAATCGCCGTTTCTACATTGAAAGCATAGTCCGCTTAGTTTATAGAACCCATATTTACACCGAGAGCAAAATCTGTCCGTGTTTCCTAGATTACAGATACAAGAAATGTCGCATGTTGTGGTCAGAGATGACATTGCAAGTCTCTGGAAGGGCGCACGAGTATCTTTTGGCGATGTGACTAGTCTACAGCTACATGAACCTGTTGGATTGCAGGCAGATTTAACAGGACATTTGACAAGATGGGTAGCGTTAGCAGGAACAGGGGATGGCCAGTAACCGCTGCTTATGTTCATGATGCTGGGACGAAGATCTTCTACCGAACCGGGTGCAAGTCTGTGACATGTCCCATCCTTCATGCACTGTTTGCACAAACCTTTTTCTCCGTAGAAACCTTCATCGCAGACGCAGTATTTGTACTCATAAAAGGTCGGATCTACGCGAATGAGACCATTGTTGAAGGTGAGTCTTCCTTCTGGGCAGGTGAAATTGTTTGCTTTGTGTGGTTTAATCATTCTTGAAAAATCAGGTTGAAAGGTATTAGACGTTGCCCCATTTCCTTCTCGCATAAAAGGGTTTCCAGAAATATCCAAATTTTGGAGGGATACCAAGTTTTGAATTCCAGCAGGAAAACCTCCAGTCAGGTTATTTGATGAAATATCAAAAGTGGTTAGAAAGGAAAAGTCTCCGATGAAAGTTGGTATAGGTCCAAAAAAGTTATTACCACGTAAGTCACAAACAGACAATCTCTCCATGTAAAGCACATTGTCTGGTATTGGACTACTGATACCACAGAAGCTCACATTCAAAGTCGCAGGGCTGTCAGTCCCTTGATCCATAGATTGGCGGAAAAGGCCAATGAAGCTTGTAAAATTTATTGACAGATTCCTATTGTCCGCTAAAGAGATGGATAAACTTTCATTTACTGTGGCATCACCTGGCCAGGCCTTTCCTTGGTTAAATGAAGAAAAACGATTCTGTGACACGTCAAGCATATATAACTGTGGCAGGGAAAGCAAATCGCCTGGTATATCCCCTGTAAGTCGGTTGTTGGCGACATTTAATACCCGGAGGTTGGTGTTATTTTTGAACGTTTTCGGAAGCGTACCTGAAATTTTGTTCCCGGGCAGAACAAGGTACCAAAACCTTCTTGGCAACACACGAGGCATACGTCCGGTTAGTTGAATCCCAGATACGAACAACTGTCTCAACGAAGAAAGCGAAAATAAGTCACTCAGCCTCCCATACATCGTACCAGGGTTGTTCCTTAGATCGAGATACCAAAGCTTGTTTAATCGAGAAATACTTCTTGGTATTTCTCCACTTATGTTATTTCCGCCAAGACCCAATAATCGTAGCTCCGTCATATTTCCTATGTCGTGGGGTAAACGACCTGAGATACCGTTGCCATTCATGGGGCAAGCCATGAAATTCTGCAGTTTTCTAAGTTTGCTGAAGTCCTCTGGGATATATCCACCAACAGAAGAGGCAGTCAACCCGACGGAAAGCAGGCTAGTCATATTTCCAAAGAGAAAGTGGTCAAGACGTCCATGTAGATTTGGATTTCCCACAACGCATAGAGAAAACAAGTTTCTGATCTTCCAAATGGTGGAAGGAAGGGAGCCGTCCAAGTTGTTGTAAGCCAACACAATTGTTTTTACGTATGAAGTGTTTCCGTGGCAGCTAATACCATACCAGGAACAGTGAGATTTTTCATTTGCAAGGCTGGCCCATCCCCGTCTGTCGAACCATTTTTGGCCGTTTGTGGATTCATATATGTCTAGTAAAACCTGTCTTTCTTGCTCTGGTGCAAAAGAAGTGTCCAACGTGAAAGGTAGAAACGTCTCATTCTCGACGCGGTTTAGACATTCTTTGCCATTATTAAGCAGAAACACTTTGAGGCCTGGAACAAAAATGGATGTTCATTAATTAAAACAG